GTCATTTTCGGAATTGGAAACTTAGAAATATCTAGATTTACGACATATTTATGGGATTTTTACTTGAAATTACTAAAAACATTTTTCTGTTTATTCTTCCTAGAAAGACATTATTTATCTCTACAACTTTGTTTCAGATGTCATTTCAATCAGAAGTGCCGTTACCGTGCTACATTTTTTGTTGTAAAATTTCAAAGAAGCCATTTTGAAATTGTACAAAATCCACAATGGCCGAGTTTTAGCAAAAATGTGAATCATTTTTTTCCGAATCGTCATTTGACGTGGAACTTTTCAGTTGAGAAAACAAAATTTGTTCAAATATTTAGCTAACATAAATGTCACATTAAAAAAATACTATCAGACACATTACAACATCTGCTATGATATATATGACTGAAGGTCTCTTTACCTAACCTAATACCTGTTTATGCGGTGGATAAATTCTGTATATAATTTATATACATCTGAAATAGAATATTACATTTCTCGGTTGGGTAAGTTCTCGTACAGATGCTTATATTTTTTAGCATATGCCTTTTGTTTTGCGTGTAGCTTTGTTTGATTCAGTTTGCTTCAATGACTCCGCCATACATACACTACGTTCGAATATTTTGAAATTTCTTGCATGTGAATTGCTATATATGCTATGCTACATTGCATCCTCTTGTGGTTTTAAAAAAAGAAACATTAATGTATGTATGTACATAAGTGCATATCATTCGTGTGAGGAGGCAAACATTATGTTTAACACTATACACCATATGAGATGAGATACATATATGCTCAGGGAAATTCAGTGTTACAGTTTTTTGACATCTTGCATGCTTCCACCTTATCATCCAATTATGACAAAGTATATCAAACAACAACGAAAAGCTTTACCGCTGCCCCTCGTTACAAATACGATAAGCAACGTTGACTTCATCATAGCGTTGAGTGGGAGTAAATGTTACAGCATGAAAATCTTTTGGGAATTACATGTGACTGATTTATTTGATTTGTTTACCTTAGATAAATATGGTACTTTGATACGGTTATGTACCGACAGGTCCATATCGTTGTATTTACTTTTGCAAAATATAATGAAATAATAAATCTAGACGAGATGTTTGTCGAAGAGCTGCTGTGAAAACGAAACGATGGTGATTTTCACTTTTTTCTTTTTTGCTCTCGTACAAGCCAATAATGCAATCTGGAAGGAGAAGATTTTACTCTATCACTAATGTAATCTTATAGCTTATCCTACAGCGGATATTGGTCATGTAACAGGTGTTCGATATCTTTTTCTGATAGCTTTAAAATTGACAGCACGCAAGATATTTGCAGTTCCAAAACAAATTGTATGCCTCGTATGTAAAAACACAATTGATAGGGTTTTGACGAAGACAACAAATCAAGAAGACTGGCAACTTTTCCAGAATCCAAGCGACAGATACAGTAGTACTGCGCTTGAGTGAAGGTGGAAGCAACGCATAGAAAAATGAGCAAATACACAAACCCTTCTTCTGAGGATGTAATCTTTGCTATAAAATTCGTTCGAAGCATTTACCTTTCAGCGGCAGATGACGCTATTGTACCTGTCTCATAACGTTTGTATGAGAAAATGGAAGAGTTGCCAGTCTTCTTGATTTGTTGTCTTCGGTTTTGATCTAATAACCCGCGCTTTATCTCTATTTTTTAACGGGATCGAACAAAAATAGGAATTTTCCTATTATAGATGACTTCAAAATGTATCTACCTTTCCATAGATTTTATAAAGAGTCATAAGTTGTTGAGATATTGTTAGAAATCTATCACCGGTTCTTGATTCCAAATTCGTCCAACGAGTTTCAATTCCGTCCTACATGGCCAATCAGAACGACTCAGCGACTGATTTCAATTAACCACTCCATTCGAGCAGATAAAATGACGTTTACTGCCACTCGAACTTTGAAATAAAACATTATTTTGAGATTTTTTCTTGTAGAACCACAAGAAAAGTAGCCATCATTTATGCATTTCATACAAAAACAGAAATTAGTTGGTCCAGTTTTGTGAAATCTCTGGTAGAAAGTCACGCCAAAACTGTTTGACAAAGTGGTCAATTGACTCAGAGCATTTTCTTTCCATACGAAATTTACTCATACTTAGTAAATTTCGTATGAAAAAAAATGCTCTGAGTCAATTGAATTCAGTCGCTGAGTCGTTCTGATTGACCGTGTTACTCAGTGAAACGCCAATAATTCGGTATCAACATTTCAAAAGGGCGAAACTAACAATTATTTGCACCGTTCAGCCTGAGTTGACCCTTGTTAATCAGTTCATAGAAGTTTAGATTTTTATTTTGTGTTTTTAATGTTAAAAATCCCCAAAATTAGATTTTGCCCTTTAAATTCATAAATTTAGATTACGCCTTTTCGTTTTTGTACCTTTTGTTTGACAAACTGGCAATTTGGCCCCAATGACAGCACCTAATTTTTTTCGGGTTTCATTTTGCACAAATTTTATGTCTTGGATTTCTTTCGTTTTCTTTAATTTAATTTAATTCAAAATTTGAATGATTGTGAAAACAAACAAAAAAGAAATCACCACCATCATCTCTGATAGATTTGTCAAAGTTTTAATTTTATCTTACAGCGGTAATGAACGCGCAAAAATCATAGAAACTGAACATGCTAGATCAAACGGAGGCCACTTGTGTGCGGGTACTTTTCAGTAACAAATTGCTTCTAAGTGGTGCCGTACAAAGGATCAAGGAAATGATGCTGATTGCGTTGGTTTTATGTTTGTTTAATCCATCAGAAATCAGCTGGATCTATTGTACGTCGATAGCAGCGAATTGACCCAGCAGCTGGTTTTCCGTTTGCGACGATTCATGAACACGATTCATGATCTTTAACTTGGATTCGTGAAAACAACATATCCGAATCGGGTTCTGGGGTTTCCAATCTTAAGGTAATTTGAGTTGTGGGCAATCTTGAAATATTCTTTTGAGAATAATGCATTTTAGCAACTACAACTAGATATACGTAGGTGGGGTACCCTGGGAGATTTTTTTAACCGTTGTAAACGCTATGGCTACGAGACTATGTTATACATAAAAAATACTGCAATAATCGCATGAAAACCATCAAAAATACGGAAATCAAAAATTAGGCCACAATTCAAACCTTGATGCAGTTTTGCCCTCGCTGATGGCGAACAAACCGAGGAGCGAAATTAACTTCACTATACTAAACTACAAAAGTTAGTTACGCCTTTTGTAAATGTTAATTTAGGGTGACAAAACATGTTTTTTGTGAAATTTTATGAAATTGTTCCTAGTATTGCATCACTTGCTGTCCATTTCTATAAAAAAAACTCATTTTGTTTACATTTGTCAGTTTCGCCCTTTTGAAATGTTGGGACTGAGTTTTTCTTCGCCGAATGAAGATTGAAAAAATGGTTTCGCAAGGAGCGCTTTTTTGTTTTGAGATCAGTTCATATAATGCGCTCTAGTAATCTTTGTGTTGTAGCTTATCAATTAATACATCGGAACAAATGCTTTACACGGTGAAGTAATTGATATTATAAATGTTTTCTGCTCGATAGAACGGAAATGGACCAAATATATACCTATATAGGGTAGATGTACCAGTTATACGTTCCTTTTAGTGTGTTATCGAAGACATCATAGCAAGAAGATTGGCAACTTTGCCAGAATCCAAGCGACAGATATAATAGCGCTACGCTTGAGTGAAGGTGGAAGCAACGCATTGAAAAGTGAGCAAATACACAAACCTTTCTTCTGAGGATGTTATCTTCGCTATCAAATTCGTTCGAAGCATTTACCTTTGAGCGGCAGATGACGCGATTGTACCTGTCTGAGAAAATGGAAGAGTTGCCAGTCTTCTTGATTTGTTGTCTTCGGTGTTATATATATATATATATAACGTACAGTACTAAACTAAAATGTCATATGACAGTCTCTGTAGGAATGGCCGATGATAACAAATGTAGATTGTAAGGTTTCGTGCGGTCAATCAAGTGATCTGGCCATGTTATATGACCGGGTGATGCCGACAGTGTCGATAAGTGAGGATGGTCGACAGTTGCGCATGTCTCGTGTGACCGATCGGGTGGTCGGGAAGAGTTGAAGGGACCACGTGGGCCCTGTAGTAACGGTCGATGAAGACAAATGGTGGTAAGTCGGCCAATTAATCCACGTGGGCCGGCAGGTGGGGCAAATTATGACCATTGGTAGGGCCGTTATGAGCAGCCAATGATAACGAATCGTAGTTAATCTAGGAGATAAGCCTGTAGGACCGACAGGTGTAGTCAATGATGACAGCTGGTGGTTGGAAAGGCCAGTAGAGAGGGCCAAAGATGACCAATTGACAGTCGAATCAAGATTTAACCCCCGTCATTGTCTCCAACCCACCGGTGCCCACCGGTGCTATGCTTGCTCCGAACTTTTGATTGCTTCACTCACCGGAGTATAACCTCTTCCTTTGACGATTGAACCCAGCCCAGTGCAGTGGCTGATCTCTTTCCACTTAGTCATTACGGGTTCAGTACATCTAGAGCGAATCACTCCCTATTGCCCATGAAACAGAATCTCACCCTTGTCTTGTAATATTTCTAAATTTGCCATTAATTCATCAAAATTTGACGTTAATTTTAGCTGTTGGACATTATGAGTCCTATACAATACACCCATTGGCGTAGCTAATGGGGCTCTGCCTATGGGGTCAGATCCTCTCCAGAATTGTTTAGTGGATCTTATACCGACAATTTAAATGATATAAGTCACCAACAACATCTGGAGAGGGATTAGATCATTCTTGAGGGGGCCTGGTCCCATAAGCACGCCCATTAACTATGCCAATGACTACACTAAACAAATTCAATGTTGAAATTCGGTAACAATGCTTCTGAAAATCATATTTAAAAACGACTTACCTCAATATTGCCATGTACTCTTTAGCTAGTAATAAAGCATTAATTGTGGATAAAAAATGTAATTCGTTATATGTTTCAAGGTACGTTGGAGGTCAGCTGAATGCTTGTTATAATGCGTTAGATCGTCACGTTCTGAATAACAAGGGCAAAAAAGTTGCACTCATCCATGATAGCCCCATGACTAACACCATCCGTCGGGTAACCTACAATGAACTCCTGGAAAAGGTATGATGATTAATTCAGCTACATTTAAACAGATGTGCCTTTATAGAACTTTTTGATAACTATGTATTATGATCTATCACTGCATTTGAGGAAACATACATTTTAAACTAAACTCTAGGTTTCTCGGCTAGCTGGTGGTTTGAAGAAACTTGGTGTCAAAAAAGGAGACCGAGTTGTCATATACATGCCTCTGATTCCAGAGGCAATTATGGCTATGCTTGCTACCGTTAGACTAGGTGCTATACATTCTGTAGTGTTTGGAGGCTAGTATTATTCACTCATTATCGTTTTAAATATATGTATACGTATTTGCCTTTAACAGGATTTGCCGCCAGTGAACTGTGCACACGTATTGAACACGCAGAGCCAAAGGTTATCATAGCTGCGAATTGTGGAATAGAGCCAAATAAAATTATTCATTATTTGGATATTCTCCATGAAGCTGTGGAAATGTCAAAGTGGAAACCTCAAACCAACGTTATTTATCAGCGCACGAACATTTTGGTTTCTGAACTGGATAAACGCATGGATGTAACATGGGAATCGATTCTTGACGAACCAACAGGATGTGTTCCAGTAGATGCCAATGACCCATTGTATATTTTGTACACCTCCGGAACTACAGGCATGCTCCTAAATAGCTGATGAAGTGTATTATGAATGATGATTTATGCGTTCTTACAGATAAACCCAAAGGTATTACTCGTCCTACCGGAGGCCACCTGGTCACATTGATGTACACTATGGACACAATATATGGAGTGCAACCAGATGACGTGTGGTGGAGCGCATCGGACTTGGGCTGGGTTGTTGGTCACTCATACATATGTTATGGGCCATTACTTTATGGTGCCACTAGTATTATGTACGAAGGAAAACCGGATCGTACCCCCGATCCTGCCCAATATTTTCGGCTGATTGAACAACACAAAGTCACAGCACTCTTTTCTGTTCCGACATCATTCAGAGTGCTACGGAGAACTGATCCAGATGTCAAGTATGGGAAAAAGTACAGCATAAAGTCACTTAGAACTATTTTTATCGCCGGGGAACATTGTGACTCCGAAACAAAGGTTAACTGGTTGTTGGAGTGCGTGGATGAAATGTTAATTTTTTTGCTCTGTTTCACAGACTTGGATTGAAAAGACCTTTAGAGTACCAGTGCTGAATAATTGGTGGCAGACGGAGACAGGATCAGCTATAACAGCAACATGCGTTGGCCTTGCCCAAAACCTTAATCCTCCGAAATTCACAACGGGCCTACCATTTTGTGGATATGACAGTAATTAGTTTTTTTTTCTTTTGTTATTGGGAAATTGGCTCTAATGTTGGCCATGGATCTAAGATTGGGCCCATCGCTAAAAATCTGCTATTTATCAATTTTCTCTAGGTGAACGTGGGATGGTTCAAATGGATATTTTTGGTCGCTATTGAAAATTTATTCGATTGCTGAATTTATGCATGGGCCCAAATGAGTGAAATTTAGGCCGACATTACATCCATTCCCCCTAGGTATCTAAAAAGCTCTTTTCATTTATTGCGCATAACTGCACCTTCAACATAACTGCTCACCTTCAACTTCGTATGCTTTGAGGACTTTCACAGTTTATCCTTGAGTTCAATATATGCTCACATTATTTTTGCAATACCGTGGACCCCCAGGTCAGATTACGTTTATAATAACACTTTTTTGGTTGAAACCCGTTGTCTGCACACCGTGCAAATTAAAAATTGCTCAATCGTCATTTAGCAGATGGAATGGAGAAAATCGAAATGGAAACCACCAGAAACTCACTTTTTTGATGGTCATAGAGTTACTAGAATTGACGATCGTTTGCTGAGATTCAGCAAAATATTTTTCAAGCCTCAGCAATCAAATACCTTTGCTGAGATTTTGGCAAAAAATGAGCTGTGAAAATTGCTGATATTCGGCAAACAAAATTAAGTGTTCATAACTATACTGCCCTGTGCGGCATAACAGTCTCATTAGAATAGGAAATCAACCAATGATGGGACTGTTATGCAGTATAGTCAACAATCAATACGAAACTAACGATTTTAAATTGGCTCACCACTTTAGTAGCCTATTGGTCCCAAGCAAACGATTAACGAACCCTATTCTAGTTGAAATTCTATTACTACACTATGTTTGTTTTGATTCGCTATGAAAGTTTGACAGATAACATCAGGGGTGTGTGGATTCATGCAGAACATGCAGGGGTGAGTGAAATAGCTTGGGACTGCTTGGGACCGTTTTTCTGGTACTGAGTGAGCCAAAAATAATAATGATTTTCTTCGGGACCCAGTGGTCTTAGAGTTACCTCTATGGTATAGTTGTATCATGTAAGTTAGCAAGTGCTGCCCAAAATATGTAAGGCTTTACAGACCAGCACGGATTTCACGGCCACCACGTTATAGAACTGGTGCGATAATTCTGATCACACTGGTAGATGGTGTAGTTTCTTGTCAGTTACCATTCGCGAATAGTCAGTTCAGAGCTGGTAAATATCACGCCCGTCATGTAAAAATGAGAAAACAGGTCGTCTCACTATCACGAGACGAAATTACCTATCATGATTTTTTTCAAACTTTATTATAGAGATTTTTAGCCGTAGGCGTAGTTCATCCATAGAGGTAACTCTAAGACTAGTAGGTCCCGAAGAAACGTGCTCAACTTTTTGGCTCAGCTCTGGTACTATCTTCGGTCCCAAGCTAATCGATTCACCCCTCGAAACATAGGGAAAACCACTAACCCCTCATTTTATCTGTCAAACTTTCATAGCGAATCAAAACAAACATTGTGTAGTACTAGAAATTCGACTAGAATGGGGTACGTTAATCGTTTGCTTGGGACCAGTAGGCTAGTCAAGTAGTGAGCCAATTTAAACTCGTTAGTTTCGTATTGATTGTTGGTTCATCTCTTCCTACCTATCATGAGATTTCTTGTCATTTTCCAATGATCTAGCATTCTTGAGATAAATTTTCATACGGCTTTGACATCAACATTTCTAATTGATTTGGATGAATTTAGGCAAAGTAACAGTATGTAATCGGTAGAGTGAATTTATTTTAAGATCTACGCGGTATAAGTCACAATAGTATCAATAAATGAGCTAGTAATTCCGGAGAACTTCGAGATTACGGCGTAATTGCTTTTGTAAACAAACACGCCAATCGCCGATTTCTCGCGAATTAAAGCTCAATCTCAAAAACTAATTACACAAAAAGGTAGAGGAATGATTCCTATTTCATTTGGTTTAGTTTGTTTGCGGATAGAGCTTTTATACGCGAGAAATTGGCGATTGACGTGTTTGTTTACAAAAACAATTACGCCCAAATCTCAAAGATCTCTGGAATTCCGATGTTCACAACACTGTCACGTTCAGATGACAAAAAAATATTTTGAAGTAAATCTCTAACATTGTTCTGATGATAGTTACAGAAGTATCTCTGTAAATATCGTGTGAGATCTTACATTTAAAATTACATTTGCCAGCCCTTGTCAGTGTAAAGTCACTATTATGTGTAGTCCTCAAAATCAATTTTTATTTAAAAAAAAAATTCTTACAGTTTTCAAACTGCAAATCACTGTAAAGCTGAACAATTCACTAAAATTGCCTGTTGTTGAGCTCTAGACAGCGACACGCAATCCGGCATACGAAGAGAGCCACCAATCGGCCGAACAACCAGGAAGCGCTAAACATGTTATTATCAGTCCCCAAATAAAAATCGTAATAATCAGAAACATTTTAATCCTACCCATCGTATGAAACCCAAAAAAAATCATTACTACCAGTAAATAAACTTTTTTGATGAATTTACTGGCTTCTTCATCAAAATACTGAAATAAAAATACTGAAAATATCAGTAAAAACAAATTTAAACAAATAAGTTACTGATATAGACAGAAATTTCTTTACTGACATAAACAGTAATTTTTGAAAGTTCAGAGATTCTGCGATTTACGGAGTTTTCAGTGTTTCAGTGTTCAAAATGTTTTTATGAATTCAAAGTGTTTTTATGTTGATTCATACTTTGAATGTAACAACTCAAGGCGGTAGCAGCCGTCAACAATGCTGATGATGGTACAGCACGCAACAACCATCCTACTGTTCTCTCTCTGAGATGACTACGTTGGTCATGACGAGAGGAACAACACAATAGACGAATTGCATTTTAACACACCATCGACTGGAAATGCTTTCGGCAACGTGGGGCTTGGGTGGTGATGAAACGTCGCTAGAACTATTCCACAGCCGCAGGCAGTATTCGAGCAAAGTCAAGCGCACACTTTTTGCCTGAAGATTTGAAGACATACTTCAATTCTCCGCGTACATCGTACGGGTTAGGTAAAGAGTGTGCGTTTGACTTGCACTGTCGCATTAATGGCCCTTCGCTCATTTTCAACTTCTATTCAATTTTCATTCTGCCGTACTCTAACGTAACTATCTACCTACCCTCTTCTAAGACCATTATCTAGCTAATAAATTATCACACTAAAGCATCATGTAAGATAGCATTTCCAACCAACTTTGACTACTGGGTTGATTGCTGAAAACTCAGCTGTTTGAAAACCCAGTACAATTTTACCGACTTCGGTAATTTAAACGGCACACCAAGAGAGGCCGACGAACCGACTGAACCACCAGGGAGCGCTAAACGTGAAACTCAGTCCTCTAATCAAAATCATAAAAAATGGAATCATTTTAATCCTACCCTTCGTATGGAACTTTTTTTATGAATTCACTGACTTATTCATCAAAAAACTATAATAAAAAAATACTGAAAAACTCGTAAAAAAATAAATAAATAAAACAAATAAATTACTGAAAAAGTCAGCCATTCTTTTACTGAGTTAAACGGCAATTTTTGACAGTTCAGAGATTCTGCAATTTACGGAGTTTTCAGTAAAAGTAAAAAATACTGGGTTGATTACTGAAAACTCAGCTGTTTAAAACCCAGTAATCTAAACTCTGTGTGTATTCTTCTGTGGCCCGTGCCTTGAACTTGAACTTAGAATGAATTGAAATCCATACATTTCCAAGATCTTAGACCGAGAAAATCTATGAAGATATTGGGCGAAAAAAATATTTCAGGCTCTGGAACCTAAGAACAACCTAAACGAAATACGTATAACTTAACCTACTTCATCATCCTGACGCGAATGCCACAATCATGATAAAGTGTCGTCAATAAATAATAATAATAGTTAATAATTGTAATAATAATTCACCATTATGTGTATGGATGCATATTTTGAGGAAAATTAATTTTGTTTTTTTGTGCTAATTTGAATGTTCAAATATCTGTCTTATTTTAGGATTATTAAACTGATAAACTCGTTGTAATATTTTTAGTTCGAGTTTTAAATGCAGATGGAACAGAAGCAGATCCTAACGAATTGGGTCGTCTAGTTGTTAAACTGCCACTTCCTCCAGGCACGATGTCAACCCTATATAGAAACGATCAATTGTTTGAACAAGTGTACTTCCATAAATATCCGGTAGGTATAACTAATTGTCCATATTTTCGCTGATTATTTATTTGGTTTCTTAATATGTAAGGGCTATTATGACACGATGGATGCTGGATATAAAGACGAAAAGGGATACATATATGTAACTGCTAGAGATGATGATGTGATCAACGTAGCTGGTCACAGAATTTCCACATCAAGCTTAGAAGATGCAGTATTGAGGTAAATTATACAAGGCACATGTGGGCACCTAGTCATCGAAAAACAGACGCAAAACTTATGTAAATCTAATTTATTCTCGAAAGTTGAAAATCGAAAAATCATAAACAATCAACACGATGCAACTAAAAACATGTACACTTGTACATGTACATGTTGCATTGCCGTAACTAATGGGGCAGGCCACCTCCAGAATGATCTAGGCCCCCTTCAGATTTTTAGAAGATTAATATAATTTAAATATGTATAAGAACATGGTATAAGAATCACCAAACAAATCTGGAGGAGCCCTGGATCATTCTGGAGGGGGGTAGGCACCCTAGGCACCCCCATTAACTATGCCGATGCACACTTGATGGTTGGTTATGGTATAAGTAAACTTTTTCCGCAAACATTTGGACAGATGGTAGTAGTGTGCAGAAATATTGTCGTAGTAGTGACCAGAAATTTCGTCATTTTTTTTATCTTTATTAAGGAGACTTTCAGCCCTGGGCTTGGTTGTCTCCACTACGTCAAATTTGCTGAAGTAAATGAGGTTGATCCTATTTCAAGATTACGTCTTTATGTTAGGGGTGCAATTAAAAAAAAAACCAAAATCTAACGCGTTACGAAAACAGCTGTTAATAGCGGATGGATTTTAATTCTAAACAAATCAATCGATTAGAATTTTTTCTACGAATCTGCTAAATTGAACATTTACACCCCTATTCTCGTTGTCGAACGAATCGAAACGTTCATAAATTTTTTTTTTGTGTGAACGTTTCGATTCGTTTGAAAACGAGAATAGGGGTGTTAGTCAATTTTCAATAGGTCACTATTAAAAATTATACACACGTCTAACTGTTGCAATGGTGATGAAAATTAAGATCGATTGCCTGCACTTTCCCTAACACAGATTTCAAAATCGAATTCAATCACCGCGTATGCTGGTAAGTGGCAGTCGTCATCATCATCAGCAGCAGCAGCAGTGCTTTTGGCGCGTGGCGTCGTACATTTTCTATTGTACACAAGGCTCAATGACATTTATGTAAGGTCTGGACCAACAGGCGCCTTGCTGGTGTTAGAATCAAAAATATTGTAAACACTGCTGAACATCTGCGAACAGATAGCAATACGTCACTGCCAACATACTGAGAACATATAGAAATACATCACTGCCAACAGCTATTTCGTGTAAAAATATAAACATTGCAATAAAATATGAACACCACTAAACATTTGCATATTTCACTAATACCAATAAGGCCTTTGGCCCAGACCTTATATAACCGTCATTGATCAAGGCTGTCCTCAAGAGTCCACGATTCACCGAAGAAGGAAGAAGAAGCCGCACTGCTACTGATCGGATTCAGTTGCTCGTCGTGAGCCCACAGTGCCATCTATGCCAAGCACGTTACCCTAGTTCCAAACAACATACAGCTCGTCCAAACAACATACAGCTCATCCGTGTTGAACACCCTAATAGCTCAGCATTACTCAACCATTACGACAAAACGGTTCTTTTCAGGATTAGCATACATTAATTATTGTTGTTTAAGAGTTAATTTTCATTGAACGTTCGCTCGTCTTGCTTGCAGCAACATCACCCCAAAGCTTTTTGATAATGTACCCAGCAACCAAACGTTTGTGGTCAAATGCGTACAGTATCAAAGTGTTACATAAAAATTCTCACAATAACCGAATACCACATGACCTTGTCAATTATTCAGAAACACTTCGAATTAACGTAAGGTTTTCTCCAGGACGCTAGAAAAAAGCCAAAAAATCTCGAATTTATATCATTGATCGTGAATACCTCACGACTGGAAAATTTTAGCAAGAAATTCCTCCAATCAATTTTCATTTTTTTTATTATTATTATATATTTAATAAACAAAACTTCCGTGCGGTTTGTGCACGAAAATGCGTAATTTTGTCATTAGAAAACGAAGCGTTTCCGTGATGCCGAGCACGTAATCCTACGTCAAATCTACGGTCGTGTTGGATACAACTTCTTACTTTTTTGATTTCAATAATCGCATAATCTAAATAGTAGAAATCATGTTTCTAAAAAAAACTAGGAAAATTTCGAACAAAATCTCGATAAATCTGGTTAACTGGGTGTATCGTATTGAACATAATTGAATATAAATGATGGTATATAATTCTTGATTACATACTGACCTTCTTGATTTTTCATACTGATAGGCACCCTGATATAGCTGATGCAGCCGTTTTCGGGGTACCAGAACCAACCAAAGGTCAAATACCACTTTGCTTGTATGTTATAAAAGATGGAGTAACCAAAGCTACTACCAAACTGTCTGTAGAGCTAATCACACTGATAAGAGATGTTATTGGACCTATAGCAGCATTTCGACTGGTAGGAAGGGTGGATAATCTACCAAGGACTAGATCAGGTACTGCAAGCATGTAGTTTAAAATATCATCTATGAAATGTTTTTTGTTTTTTTGTTTTCAGGGAAGACTATGAGGAAGGCTATGGGAGAATTCGCAGCAAATAAAACAGTGATTTTGCCAGCAACAATCGAAGATGTTGGAGTGTTTGACGATATTAAGCGAGCCTTGCAAGAACTTGGTTATGCAATGAATGCTCCAATTCCAACTATTGGAAATAAAAAATAATGTAATTGTTTATTTATTGTATAACTTCTGTGGCTTATAGAATTTAAATTAATCTCTACGGAAAAACATGTGTAAAAAAGTAAAAAGTCGTTGACTGATTTCAAAGAAATCTTGCAACCTACTGATAGTTGTTTCAATTTTATGAAAATCTGACCTGATTCCCCCATAGTGAGTTATGTTCTTTCTTTTTAATTAATTGTTTGAACTAAAATAAGAATGACATTTAGCTCGAACGCATGCCACTGTAATGGCGAAGATACGATTATTTCAACATAGCCAATATTTAAATTAAAAACCGGTCCGCATCGGCTAGTCATAGATGGCTTGGTTTCTGGCTCATCTGGTTCTCATATATTCTGTTGGTTCTCTTCGCTCACCGTCCAGAGTTGCCAGATACAGTTTTCATTCACTTTTGTGAGTGCTTTTTATCTGGGTTGTTCGCTTATTTGGCGATGTCAGTTATCATCTGTCATATAAGATTACATATATCATATAAGACTTGACAAATCAGAGGATTATTTTCCATGAAAAAAAAACTTTGGTTCTTTAGAAAAGAGTAGTATTAAATTCTAGTTTTTTTTAATTAATCATATAGTCGAGCAGTTTTATGACATCCTTTTTCAAGATATTTTAAGAAAATAAGGCCATTAATTTCTAAATTTGTTGGCCTAGCTTGAATAAATCTTATAAAAATTGTTCCGTGGTAATGTTCGGAAGGTAGGAAACGTAGTTTTAAGCTTCTCAAATAATGTAATCCATTGTGATTTTTTTTCTGGATACCCAACTAACAATTTTCACAATGTAAACGCTTTACTCATTTCATTTATATAGCCTCAAACGTTATACGATATGAGGCAACTTTACTCAACCTCTATACAAGCAAATCTGGCGAACTTATTCAGTTATTTATGGCTGTTGGGATGGTTGGGACAAGCTCTTATTGCATATCCATTTACGCTTGTATGCACAGGCATACCAAAAGTACCGCCTCATGACAGTATTCCAACGGCTGTCGCTTTTTTTCCTACGTCAGCCTTGAGATTGAGCTATAAGCGACAGCCCACAGTGAGGTTGCCATACGACATGCACCGTTGCCGTCCTGTGCAGTACACGACAGCTTGTACTTATTCATGTAATTTGTTCGTTCGGCTATGCCTCGGATGGTCAACCGTAACGTTCCTCGTACATACAACAAGCAGTCCGTCAAACTGCCGATTCGTTGCTGCTGTCTTTGAAATTTTGTTCGTATGTCGTGAGACTGCTACTACACTACCAGTGTAACGCCGAAGCTCGTTCGGTTGCTATCACGTTCGTGCTGCCCATTGCAAAATTTTCATCCAATATTGAGCAGATCAGACATTCCGATATTACGGCGAAAAATATAAGCCTACCCGACACCAACCTGACTTCTACCAAACCCCAACCCGATGTTGGCCCGACATTGACCCGACATAAACACAGAATTGACTCGAAATTGGCCGACATCGATCATAAATTGACCTTACATTGATCCGACATCGGGCCGACATGTCTGTTCGGGATCATTTTTCCGGGTTTCTTCCATACTTCACTGCCGTACATCAATTGTATATAATGTCTCGTGACAGAGCCGGCACCGGTGGTGTAGTGGTAAGCGTGACTGCTTTCTAACACCGCAATTGGTCTGGGTTCAATCCCAGCCGAGGTCGGTGGGATTTTTCTGAAGCATAAAAATCTCTGGTCACGTCTTCCTTCGGAAGGGAAGTAAAGCCGTTGGTCCCGGCCCAAGTGTGTTGAATGGGTGCGATATCCTACGCAGGTGTGAAAGCAGCCTTCCTGCACATTCGATTGCCGTCAATGGATGGCAATCGATGTCCGTCGGTGATTGGCACTAGATTGCGGAACAGAGACCGACGTTAAATAAATGAATAAAGTCTCGTGACAGCCACTTGGGTAAGCTGAGGTATGTCGTCGGTTTGTAAAGGCTGTCATGACGACAGAAACATTGAAAACCTGGTCATAAAGAAATGTATAAATACAGCAAATTCGGTTCACTACGTTCCACGATGATTTTAGCAAAGCGGGTATAGATGCGACTGTTCTAATACAGCATTCATTCGTTCGTGCGTGCGCTGTTGCCAATACACTTCGAATTCAGATCTGTACGTACGGTAGCAAGCGGTAGGGGGGGGGGAGGGGGGTAGGTGGCTGTCAAATACGAACAATCGTCGTCTACCTTGCATAACTGGTTCCAAACGTAAACAAGCCATAAGAAACCTACAGGGTTTGTTTACGTTTGCAACCAATTTCATACAAGAATGATCAGTAGGCTGATTAGACAGCACGTCCCCCCCCCCCCCCAGTAGTAAAGCAGACAAAGCAACAGTAAATTCAGGTATAAACCAACTGTCCAGAAAAGGCTGTACTATTTGGAGGCCTGTCTACCAAGAAAATAGTCGTGCACTAGATTTAGCATACAATCAAAGATATCCCACAAATCAATTCCTCGAACAAGGCAATGGATACACCACCCTTATGTGATTGCAGTGCCATCTCTTGAGTGCACATTGAAACTGTTCGGAGTCTTCCGCCAACTTCACCACCAGGGCTCAATAAATGACAGGTGTCAGTATGACATATGCCAGCGTGGACGTTGATGATCAGCCGAGGGAAGAGAATGATCGATGTCATCACGAGGGGCACGCAATAGCCTTTTTGACTGCGTTGGATTTAAAGTACAAGGTGTTCAACTAGTAATTAAGTAATTAAAAATGAAAATTAAGTATTTTATGTAATTAAATTTAATTTCGCGTAATCAAAGCAGTGCCAGTGTAATTACTGTAATTAAAACACGTACTTCAATTTGATTACGTAATTAATGTAATAAAAAAATTATTTTCTGTAATTAATGTAATTAAAGTTACACAAATGTAATTAAAAACGTACCCAAATCCTTATTCTTGAACTATTTAAAAAAATGCAGAAAACCTTTAACACATACTCGAATGAATCAATTTATTCAAAAACTATTCTTACACCCCGAAATACGCCCATTAATGTTTTACTAGACTACAAACATGACCAATTCTGCGAATACTTATACTAAATTTCTTGGAGCACCATGCTAGAGTTGGAAACTGAAATATTCCACTCGCGACAATCGATTTCCCTCTCGTTTTGTACGTTCAACATAATGTCGTATCTAGTGCACTGTATTTGTTGAATAATGCGCTTTAATGCAGAACTAGAATAAAATCGATTGTCACGAGTGGGTTATATCGGTTTACAACTCTAGCGAAAATATACAGTGAAAAGGAAGTGATACTCATAATGAGGGCCGTGATGCCGTACAAATGAAAGTGATTCCCATTAGTTGTGACGACAAGTCTTCAAATTTTACATTTCCTTAAATTCAAGCAATTCCTCGAGCAAATTTCCTCCCGATCAAAAAATGTTCGAATTTTAAGCCATACTCGCAGCACAGTTCGACAGATGATGATATTAGCTTGTGCCTGAATTAACAGGTTCAATGGAAGATGTATTTGCATTTGCATTAATTTTATGCGTGAATTCTTCGATTATTTCAATATTTCTTTCAAACTTAATGTTATTATACTAATAAAAATGAACAGATTTAAGGCAGAGTTCTTTAACAAAAAAAAAATATATATTCTGGTTTTGGTTGCATACACTAAGATGATTCAAACCAATTGTGTGCTTTTATTTGTATTATCGCAATCATATGATCACATCCGTATTCAGAATTGACGCGATAGCACTTATGAAATTCGCATCCCCATTATTCGTCTTTCCATGGGTCAACTAAACAATACTTTGGGCAGAACTCCAAACCAAAAGGAAACGATGAGTGTCATGTGCACAGGACACAAAATGATCGTTACCGATCAACTTGACACACTCAAGTGCTGGGAAGGCAATTGCATACTAGCTGCGATTTTTTTTTCCCGGAAGTAGCGCAGCGTGTGAATGTCCAAAGTATTCACCAGCTCCAGTGTCCGTTCAGCTCCTTCTCTTAGGGTCTGTTCATAAACTACGTAAACATGTTAGGAGGAGGGGGGTTGGGTTGACAATTGCACGGCTCATACAAATTTTAAATTTTTTGTATGGACAATTGGCTACGCAGGGGGTGGGGGGTCAATAACCAAAAAAAATGTGTATGTAGTTTATAAACAGCCCCTTATCGGCCTCAAAAAAAAAACTTCTGTTCCTGCGAAATGGCCAGCGAAAGAACTACCGCCTTCAGCGCCTTTGTCACCGTTCCCGCTTGATCAGGTACCAAGTACAGAAACCGATCATCGCCAGTCAAACACCAACACATCGGTGACTGATGCTTTCAAATATAATTGATTTCTATATTGCTGAAAAAACATGCTTTTAAATTTAATTCAAAATACATATTTTAGTTATAAACATGTTTTCAATTTACGTTGAATCATTCATATGTTTAGAGTATAAACAGATTTATTTCTAATTTGAATGAACAAAATTCGTATGCGTGGAGAAATAAATAATATTTTTACATGTAAATTTTGTTAACAATCTAAGAAAAAACTAATCGAATTATTGATAATTTTTCCCACGAAAATCGTTTCGAAAAAACTATATTTTTGGGGTGGTAAACTTCCCCTTAACCATACATTTTGGGGTTAAATACAAAGAGGCAAAACGTGCTTAACATAATTTTCTATTGTAAATCTGTTTTCGTTCAAATCCACCAAATTAAATTCGTTATTTCTTAGGTTCTCAGTTAGCACAAACAAACATTCCTTTCACTGTTGCATTCTCCGGTGCTTTGACAGGGGTCTGATCCAGGGTATAGGTTTTTGCCCTGCCAACACCTCGGCAGTATTGAAATCCGACTACATTTAAAATCACGAACCGATCGTTGCTTATGAATCGGCACCAATCATCAACGTAGATTTCCTCGTATGTCCCGGGCAGCGCTGCCATTTATACAGATTTATCTGTATTATACAGATTTTTTAATCTTAATACAGACCCGATACCGAATACAGATTTATCACGGATTTTTAAAATACAATACAGATTTATACAGATTTTTATAAAATGTTTGAGAAAAAAAAATTCAAAATTTATAAAAACAAAATAACTTGCTCGA